CTGATTCATGCAAAAGATGGGAAAGTGTGGAGGTGCGGTTTCGCTCATCTTGGCTTGGCCCCAGTTTTATGATCTGTGAGATACACATGCCTGCTTCTGCCGGTGAGATCATGTTCCGTCAGCCTCTTCTGTCCACATCAGCGGGCCAAACACTGGGGCAATCTGGAGCTGTCCCGCCTGGGTTTTCTGACATCCCCTTCACAGCCAAGAGATAGCCTCTTTTAAAAACAGTGTTTCTAAAAGTTTCAGCCACTATGAAGCAAGGTAATAATGCCTTTGTACCACACTTGAGCAGGACATCTGTTAGAGTATTTTTGCAAAAGGCTATTATTATTATCAGGGCTTTTTTTGCCATAGAACGCACCGGAACGGTGTTCCGGCACCATTTTTTCCAATGGATTTTACGAAATGATTTTGAATCGCCTGTCAGCGTGGCAGGTCAGCAGCAAACACCATCAACATAGTGCCTGCGGGCTGCTTTTGTGTCCGTGCGCCGCCCGGCTTGGGACGGACGCTGCTCGGCTTGGGATTGGTGTGTGTGGTCGCGCGCTGAGTGCCCAGCGGCGATGTGAGTTCCGGAACCATTTTTTTTTTTTTTACAAAAAAAGCACTGATGATGATGATAATGATGATGATTCCACTCAGTACTGATTATTCTCAGTACTGAGACTAAAGACAGCTTATAACTTAATGGGCAATGTCCTCACTCAGCCATGTGATGGTTATTTTTTTAACTAGATTTAGATGCGTCGTTCTCAATAAGGCACAGCTTCCAAAAGAGCAGGCTTCCCCAATCTGGAGCTCTACTGGTATGTTGGACAAAAACTCCCAGCATGCCTTGTTGGGGAAGGCTGAAACGGGACTGTCTAGAAGAACGCATGGCCACCTTCAGTGCAGCCTGGCATGAAAATGGCCAAGCTGTGCAATGAAGGGCGATGACCCCCGGAGGCATGGACCATGATTTTGCTTTCTTGCTTTTCTGGCGAGTCGCCATCACTGCCTGCTGTCAGGGACGCTAATCCTGCGGACCTTCCATTTCCCTTTCAGCCCAGACATCTTGAACCACGTGGGAAAGAGTGTGCATGTTTTGTAATGGCACAGAATTGGAAGTTGCCCATAAACCTTGCATGACCTGCGACACAAGGCGAAGTTGATCTGATCAGACGGTGCAGGGGGGAGGGGGGGGCCAAGGGATTTGCATCACTGGGAGTCTCGAACAAGATAAGACACTTCGAATGTTTAAGCTTTTAACCTTGAGGCTGCTGACACTGATTGGAAAGCAGAGGCGTCTATTTTTCTGTTTTGACCCTCTGAGAAGTGGCATGGCATGGCAGGGCATCAGCTGCAGGGTGCTTAAATGAAGAATGTTCTTTATCAGTAACATAAGAAAATACTTCGCTGTTCAGAAAAAAATCTAAGCCTTTTCCAGAGAATAATAAAGCACACTTACCTGCCGAATCTTAATAAACGGGAGAGATTGCTAAACCAGAAGTCCAATCTTTTTTAAATGGTGCCGCAACATTTAAGGTGGAGGAAATTTGGAGGGCTCTTTGACATTCAGAGCCAGGACTTTCTCCAGAAGCAAACATGTTAAACCTGAGGCTGTTACATTGTGGACACATCATGAGAAGGCAAGACTCCCCGGAGAAGAGCAGGGAAAGCTGGAGGCAGGAGAAGAGAGGGAAGAGAGATGAGACGGGTGGAGTCCAGAATGGAAGCCACCACCTTGAGCTGACAGGAGCTGAGCATGCCTGACTTGGGAGGACCCTCTGGAGGGCTTTCACTCATGGGGTCACCCTAAGCTGGAGGCGACCTGACAGCACAATCAACCTTCATCTCAGTGAAAAGGAACAGCAATGGATAGACAATTTCTCCTCCCCGCTAAAGGCTTTGGTGATTAACGATTGGACATAGGAGTCATTCCTTGTCAAAGAAACAGGCAGCAAAGTCACAAGGGAAGCTGATCAGGATCAAGCTTAAAATAGCCAGCATTCTCTCTGTGCGTCCATCAACAAAATGCAGAGCCCGGGAAATAGATGTCTTGCATTTGTACACCATCTTTCTGCAACCAGCCAGTGAGGAGGGCTCTGAGCATGGTCATTTGTGGCCTGCACGGTCTAATCTATGTTCATGGGAGCACAGATCTACTTGCTCAAATGTGCCATGAAGTATTACAGGAGGGCTAAGCAGTGTGGTTTATACTGGAAAGTGGACTCCATCGAACTGCTGTTCTTCCAATGATGACATTGATCCGGGCCGTGGAGAAGAGCAGAGGAGGAGTTGGGAGCAGAAGGTTGTGGGTGACCATTGAAAGTTCACCAGAACCATCTGACCAATAATTGGAATAGCATTAAAAGGGGGATGCTTGAATTTCCTGGAAAGGAGAAAAAGGGAAGAGGGCGATGAGAAAGTCCTAATTCATTCTTTAGATAAGAAAGACTGCCCTTGTTGCGAAGAGGATTTGCACGGGATTAAAGCAGGAGACAGCAGGGTCAGGGTTGCAGATATAGTACCATTTGTTAAACGAGTGTAGTTAAGAAGAAGAGAGAACTCACAAGGGGAAACCGAGACTTGAACTTTACTTATATGGAGGTGGTGGCTGTGATGAAGGGTCCTCGGTTGCGAGAATTATGGAGGCTGGGTCTGGACAGTTAGAAGCACAGAGAACTGGATAAGATTTCCGAGCAGCAACTGAGTTTGACTGGCAGGAATGAAAGGAAGGCCAGTATAATAATAGCTCTTTTGCCAGTTTATCTGCCGTTAAGAACCTAAGACAGCTCTGACTACAGCCAGAGTTAATTTTAAACCAAAGATTTCAACATGGAGCCTTACAGATACTGTTCAGTCAATATCACCTGACTTGCTGCAACAAAAGGTTGATCTAAAACTTTGTTGTGCAGACCTGATGTCCTGGGAAAATCTTGGAGTTGAATTTTGTGAGAGAGAAGCAGGAGGGGGAGGGAGAATTGAAGTCAACTGGAGCCAAGACAGACAAAATGGTTGAGTACTGTATCCACACAGGGGCTGTTGCCAGTTGCCCCGAGGGTGAGCTATGGGGTAGCTCACCCACTTCAGAGAGCAATTTGTCCTTCTCATTTTCTGGGTTCCCTCCTCACGCTGCCTCTCCTGCTTGAGCAAGAAGAGTTAGCAAGTCACAAACCCAACCAAGGAAAACTGCAATGCAGAAAGTTTAAGAATACATTAGAATCTCTGATCTATTGTACTAACTTCGCAGTAAGTTTGGATGTGAATGTACAATGGAGAGTAGCAGGTCATTGCATCGGCTGCATTCTGCACCCCACACTGATTTCTGTGGGTGGCCAGTGCCCGCCGGGACTGAGGGCTGGGAAAACTAATGGTAGGTGTAGCTGAGGGGTTGTAGTTTTCCACAGCAGCAACCCATTTTACAGAAAAGGAAAAATGAGGAAAAGTAATGTCATGAGATCATGTCTCTGAAGCCAAGGACTGAGCAGGGGGAGACAGAGGAAAGCAGCTCTCCTCTGTTCAAGAGGTGTGTGTGCGTGTGTGTGGGGGGGGTGATCTCACCTGTACAGGTGCACATGCGTTTCTATGCGTGTCCAGACACGCGATTGTGTGCACCATTAAACTACCTCCCTCTCCCCTCCCCCATTCTTACTGGGTGCCCCTTGTCCCACCTGCACAAAGCAATGAGCCACCCCTGAGTCTGGTGAAAAGCAAACCAAGTCCCGTCTGCAGACAATGCGGCCCCCTGTTTCGTGGCCTGCGAGGGTGAGGTGCTGCAGAAGGCCTGCGTTGGTGGGAGGCAGCTTCCCAGTTTGCATCACAAGAGGTTCCCCACCGGGTCAACGTGGCTTGATAATCGGAGGAGCTACATTCTTGCAAGACTCCCGTGCGGCCATCTCCTTGCACGGATTGGGGCCAAACATACCTTTCCGTACAAAAGGGGGCTTTCTGACACAATGTGAATTGAATCAAGTTTAATGAATAGATTCAGGGTAATGTGGATTTCTCCCACTTCGTTGCACAATGCTTTCCGTCTTTGCTCCTTGCACCCTCCCACATTCTTGCCTGCCTCATCACTGAGCATGCATAAACAACCATGAAGCGGCCCATCTGTGCTTGACGGGTGGTCAGATTCTCTGTACTGGGCAGGATTGTGCAGATGGCCGAAGGGTTCTGGAGCAAATGCATTCTGCGGCCCTCTGCCCCGGATCTCAGTTTCCCGGCCTCACTCTGCTCGAGAATGGTGCCACAAACTTTCTCACTCTTGCCTTGGTCCTCTCCTTCCTCCACCTTCATGCACCTCCTCCCATGAAACCTCTTCTCACACCCAAGGATTGCCCTGTGTGCTCAGGGCCAGAAAGGACTTGCAGTCCACTGTGGCCTGCATGCACCCAGCTGTGTATGGAGCCTACAGTCTCCCATCCAGTAAAACCGGACGCTCCCAGTGATTTCTGACGAGGCTGGGTTTTCGTTCACCATCTGCTGGCATTGCTGACTTCAACCCACGCCGGTTCCTTCCCTGCTCCTGGCCACTCCCACAGCGAGCAGGGAAATGGCCAGGTGAGCTGTCAGGCAGCAGGATGGAAGGCAAGCCAGTGCCCTTCAGCTCCCAATTCTTTGCAGGTGTGCGGAAGGTGACCGTGCAGGCATTCCTGGGATTGGCTCTTGAAAAGCACGGGTCGAGAGAAGCAGGGGAACAGGGCCACCGTGCTTGTTTTCTTTCCTAGAAAAAAACACTTTGCACCTTTACAACAAAACCTGGATCTTGCGGGTAGAAAGTGCCTAAAGCTTTAACCAGCCTGCTAACGGAACTCTAAGTATAATCCAGGCCGTGATTCAAATTGACAGGGACAGGTTGGTCTGCAAAATAATCTCTTTAAATAGCAGCAGCCAACACTCAAAGTCATTTCTTTGTCCTATCGTGAGTGGGAGGACAGCTTGCGGCAGCCAGTTTGCTGGAGTTTGCAGTGTCCTTCTTGGCACTACTTGGAAAGGGGAGTTTGCCTGTTGCCTGGGAATCTCACCATTTCAATAACAAACCAAGGAGTTGCTATGAATTTTGTTGCGCAGGTTCTCTACGCCAGGGCTTTAAGGAACCGAACTCCCAGGGAACGGTGCAGAGAAGAGGAAGAATATGATCCTTTCTGGCAAAGGTTGGAGAATATTGCCATGTGACGTAGACCTAGAGCGTTGATTTCTTCCCCTTAGGAATTATGGACGGTCCTAGATTTGCACCCGGGGCCAAGCCACTGGCCATCATCTCCCCTGGATCCCTCCTGCCTCCTTATGGTGCAGTAATTCGAGTATTGCTTCGCTTCTTTGTTTATTTCATTGCCATTCTTTATAGGTAATAATCAGTTCTACTTTTTTCCCAAGAAATTTCATTCAGTGTGCTTAATTTCAGACTAGAGTCATTCCTTATGGTTTAGTTCATGGCATTTTATCACTCGATTGTGCTAGAGGTTATGTGGATTTACTTTAAATTTCTACCTTTGGAACTTCTTACCTATTACTGTGAAGGTCCAGCTGGAAGGAACAACAAAGTATCAGGAAACAGTATCCATCATATGAGTTCTATTCAGTGCTGTTAGTTTTCCCGGAAGCTGTCATTATAAATGCGTGAGATCTATATTTTGATTTGCATTTATCAATTGTGCCTAAAGCTACTTGTATTACAACAGTGTCCAGATACATCAGTTGAGGTTAAAGCACCTTGGGGACAGTTCAAGACATTCCCTTGTCTTCCAGAGCTTCACCCAAAGGTCTATTTGCAGGTTTTGAACACAGGGTCCTAGTAATGTGGATGTCCTATCTGGGATTGGTGTAACTGGGAATGTTCTCATATGAATCACACTGGGTTTAACATTTTACCTAGAACTGCAATCGAAACGTAGAATCCACATGTGCCGCACACACACACACACACACACACACACACACAATTGCATAGCATTTATCAGCCACATACTTTTCCATGGCCAAGATTCTTCTGGAATTACTCATATGTAAGTTGTATTTGGTAAAGATCCCTGACAATATGAAAAGAAATTGCAGCTTGCTTGGGTCAGGTGTTTTTAATACTTCCTGTTATTATTAAATATATTTATACCATGCTCTTGTACTAACAGAGTTCTCTGAGTAATTTTCATGGATTGAAAGTGTCCAGTACAAAAATTGAAACTAAATGTATAAAAGAATAAATAAAACCAAAGCCAGCAATTACAAATTATACTTTAGAAATCCTGTTGGAATGAACATGGTATACAGTGCTATGTATAATACTGCTTTGCAATAAAAAAACATGCAGCGGGGAACAGGAATTCATGAATGAAATACATGCACCCCAACAGGGCGGGGACAAGAAACTGATATGCACGATTCATGGTGGAATTACTATTCTTGAGTCAAGATGGGTGGACCAGCCAGTAAAGAGAAATTCTTCATCTAAACACAGAAGGGCCCTGAAAAGCACTGATACCACTGCTCTCACTTATAATTTATTTATTGACTCTTGAATAGTCTCAGTATCGAATTTTGTTCCCACAGGGATGGGGGACTTTAATTAGTAGCCCTTTCATATCATATTAATGCTAAAATAGTGCTCAAAAGGAAAAAAATAATGCTAAGAAACCATAATTCTCTCCCCATTAGAACATGACCCTGGGGCAATTAAGATATGCAATGCAAGGGACAAGCAACAGTAATCCCACGGCTGTTGTCAGCATGAAGATATAAAACAAACAGGATTAGTTTTACTCTGTGATAGACTGGGGGTGTGCAACTCATAATACCCCAGTGTTTTAACTGTGGCCCCCACGCCTCCCCCGACATTTCCCACCTATTCTCCTTCCCGCAGATTCCCCTGGAATCACCCTTTCTTAAATGGGAGCAACTTAGGAACACATGTTGTTGAAGGACTGTGGCTACAGGAAAAAGCATAGCTGGGAACAAGGCGAAATTAATGGAACTTCAGTTTTATTCTGAATGAGTCCTCAGTGCTGAAGGGGGCTCTTGTTGGGAGGTAATTCTTGTCTTGTTGGACCGATAGAAGAGTTTTGCAAACTCTCCATCTCCTTCTGCTGGGGCAACTGAACCTCTTGCTTAATACATTCAGCCTGGGGGGCAGAAACAGCTTAATGGCAATCTACTGTGTTAAATGCATTGCTGATCTTCACCGGTCAATTCACACAATCTGCACACCCCATGGTGTGTGGGTGTCCATTCTGAACATTCAGCTGCTGGCAGGGATTTGCCATGGTTGTCCGAACCTGGCCATCAGGATTCATTTGTAGGTTAAACAGTCCTCGAATAACCCATGGTCTTTTGTAAGGTTATTTGAGGGTTGTCTAACCCTCAACAAACCCCTGTTGCCCAGGTTCAGGCAACACAAAAGGCAGAGTTAGCACTTCAGTGGATCATCGTGGCGTAAATAAACATTGGTGTGCTGCAGTGATTGTGTGAACCACTTTCACTTTCTTTTTTGCCTTCTAGTAAGTGTGGGGGTCTAATCTAGAGCAAGATTACTGTGTGTGGGTAGGGGAGCCTTAGATCTTCCTCCTAGCCATCTTTCCCCCTTAATGTAGCCCCTGCCACAGGTGGGTGGAAAGTGAGCTTTGGAAAAAGGAAGTGAAGATTAGCTGCCTGCATTTAGCATTGTTTGTAGTTCAGAGCATCATTTTCTTTTATTATTTTCTTTTATGTGTTTGATTGCCATTTAAATGTACCCATATTTCTGTGTTCCCCCACTCAGCTCTACAAAGAAGCTATTTGCAAAAAAGTAGGTTTTTGCATCATAGCGCATGCCTTGTGAATTCCACTAACACTGTCTCACAGTTACATCTGTATGCATTTCTTGTGCAAAAATGGAAAAATCTGCATGCCTATGGAACAGCAGCAAAAGCGCCTCTTGTTCTATGTAGGAAATGACTCTGGCTGCATATCTGGGCCCAGCCACGTCTACCTAAGTCCATCTGACCTAAGCGGGGCTTACTTCTCACACACAATACCAGTCTTTCTTGGTATATGAACTGGACCTGCCACTAAAGGTGACTGGGACACATCCAAACCATTTTCCATGGTGACAATACAAATTGCCCTCCGGTTCATTTACTCCCAAGTTGTCACTACAACTCTGCATCTAAAAGCAAGACCTTGGTGCTCTCCTCACTAGGTTGTTATGCTGCTTTTTGTCTAGGCTGAAAGGTGGATCTCAACTCCACACTGGGGTCTACCTAGCAAGCAGAACACTCCAGCATGGCAGCCTCGGGCTGCAACAGGCATGCCTTCCACATATTTGCCTAGAATTATCACACACTGCCACTAATGCCTGACTTCTCTTTCCTGTTGGACTCTAGCGTTTTCGTAATACCAACATGTTCTATAACAGAATGCTGGGTTGGTTGCAGTGGATTAACATGGCTGCCCTTTGCAAATCCGTTCTGGTTTGGACTGTGTATAGAGCCAGGTGCCGTGCTGAAGTCCTTCCCTGAGGTTGACAGCAATATAGTGGAATGGCTTTGACTGCTAGCCGCTCCCTGGAGGACCCAGATGGGGTCTGTCACCATTTTCCTGGAGTCCTTCAGCTGTGGAGATAGATGGTAGCGTGTGAGAAAAGTCCTGGCGTAGAAGGATTGTGTTGGACTGCCAGATTCTTGTCAGTAAATAGCCCCATCATTTCCTGCTGTGTGAGTTGGAGAACCGGGAATGGCTGAATGGCAAAGCTGAGCATCGTGGTGCATATTTGACATGCTACCAATCTGGGAGAGACCAAGTCCTGGTCACGTGTTAATAATATAACAGGGATGTAACTGGGGACTTGGTTGCATAACCATCCTGCCTTTTCCTCTGCTCTCAGACATCTCAGGTTTGTCTAGCAAACGCTACTGATCGTTATAGGGAGCTGTTTGCCATACACTGGTTCAGCCCATGGGTCCAGCCGGTCCGGCAATTTCTTAAACCACAAAGTGTCTGGTGGTACCTTAAAGACAAAGACATTAGTTCCAGCCTAAGCTTTCATGGACTTCATTACATGCATGGAGCCTTGTGGGAAGTATAGGGAAGAATTTTAAACAGTGAGGTCAGAAGAAAGCTAAATACAGACAATATTTAATGAGGGAAATGAAAGAAAGTGTTCTGCTGACCTCACTGTTTATAATTGCACCCCACCTCCGAACATATTGCAGAGAAGCGCTACTTGGATGACGAAGGGACTGCAGCAACTCCATGGTGAAGAAGCTGACGACATCTGGGTTTTCCCAATGGGAAGTGAGGGGAGAGATGATAGAGGCATGCAAATGATTCGTAATGTTGGGAAAGCAGCGAGGGAGACAACTCCCTCCCTCTCAGGGTGCTAGAACCCAGGTTCATCCCATGAAATGCTCCTTCACATAACTAGGGAATTCGTCTCCAGCAGATGCAGGGATGGCCTCCAATCTGGGCAGCTTGGGCAGGGGGATGGCAAACCCATGGCTACTGGTCCTGCAGGTTCTAGGCTACCTTGGGCATCAGAGCTGGTGCACCTATGTACAACAGTTGCTGGGGAACATGGGCAGGAGGATGCTACTGCACTCGTGTCCTGCCTGTGGGTTTTCTGTGAGCAGCTGGGTGCCCTCCATGTGGACTAGATGGACCCTTGGTCTACTCTAACACGGCTTTCTTTATGCTCTGATAGATAACCTGAAACTCACCACGGTAAGTCATGCATCGCAGGGCACGTCTCCTGGTCATGCCCTCGGAACGTGCCTTGAACTCGCCCCTCGCGAGGGTTGGCATCACCTCCATGCTACCGTGTGTCCTGTCTGCACTTGAAAACATGTTCCACACACGTATGCATCCTTTCCCCTTTTTCTGCGGACTATTCATCTTTTACATTTCTCTTGCAAACAAACAGGCCAGCTCACTGCCTGCATGTGGGTGTTGTCCCGTGTGAATGCAGGAAGAGCACGAGTGAAATCCAGCTATTGAAGGTATAGTGCTAGGTTTTAATTTGGTTACTGTGCCCGTAACTCTCTTTTCTCTCCTCTCCTCTCCTCTCCTCTCCTCAGGGCTGAAACTAAAGTGAGAAAACTCAATGACCCCTCGCGCTGTGAACTGCAATGCTGTAAGGATGGACCAGTAAGAAACGGCCCCACTGGGCAGAGAACACCCTCCATCAATCCTGAGAGACTGAAAGATTTTGGTGAGGAAGATTACCTGAACGGGGGAGTGAAGACTTGGGAAATGAAGATCATGAGCCAGAATGAGGAACTGCTAAGAGACCCAGCCGTGCGCCCGGAGAGGCTTAGCTTGGCAGCCTGCAATAGATTTATTAGGTTTGAAGATATCAGTGCAGCAGCTTTCAAAATCCAGTGCGGAGTCCAGAAAACACCCTGTATGGTACGACATTCATCCCTTCCTTGCGAGTTGCGCCACCGAGTGCGGTGGGGCTGAAGGTTGGCTCGGCTTTGCGCTGGTTTGCATGAGGCAAGGGCTGCTTTGGACATGCTCGGGGGAAGTCCATGATGCCCGGTGAAGCCTCTCCCTGTTGCTTTGTCTGCCTGCCCCTTGCTGCCTGAGATGTGGCGGAGAACATCCTGCAGTCCTGCTTACGGGCCAAGTGAAGATCTGCAGGTTTTCTGGGTCCAATCAGAACCCAGTTCCAGCTTGCTCCTGGCAACCACCTCCTGCAACTTCCTACCCTGTGAAAGTTTGGTGTGGTTTCTCATGTCATGCAAACCTATCCAAAATGTATCCTAGGTATGCCTAAGGATCATCTGCAAGGCACAAGGGCTCTCCCGCATGCCATAGCAAGACCTGAGTTTTTCAGCAAGCAATGCAGGACTTTCCCAAGATGTTTGCATAACACCCATCCAGATTTAAAATCCTCATATTCTGATTTGTCATCACCATTTCAGTTAGGCAAATACCAGAAATACAAGTTCACCGTAACATGAAACATATGCCTGTTTCTTAGTGAACAAGTTTTGCAGAACTCAGTCGGAGTTGCTTCTGAGGGTTAGAGAATGCCAGTGTCTGACTAGGGCCCGACTCCTAAAAGGGGCATTTGAATTCCCAGGCACCAGTATATTAGAATGTTATCTCCTTTGTTGTGTTACAAGATCTAGCAGACAAAAGCAGGAATTGTGCTTAAAACATTGCTGACCTTTGCCTTCCTGAAACATATCAAAACATTTTGAGTTTGATGATCCTTGAAAGAGCAAAACTGAAATTTAAACATGCCAATAAACCAATAATTTGGTACAATAAGATGGTAGAATTCTGAGATTTTCATATTATACTTTGTGTGTGCATGGGAGACACACAGAGAGAGATTTTAGTGATTACAGAAAATTAGCAGATCCTTAGGAGATCACTACTATGAATTTTTTTGACTAATTTGTTACATTTGGGGAGGTTCCTAAATAAGGCAGAAGCATTCAAAAATAAATGTCTTCCTTTGGAAGTATTTATTTATTCAAAACATTTATATCCCATCCAATACCAAGGGTCTCAAGTAGCACAATTTAGCATTTTATGACCTATAGAGCCTCTTAGTCTGAGAACTGCTAAAACACATCTCCTTCCTTCTTTGCAATCATAATGTAGGAAGTCCAGGATCAGAGACGAGGAGCATGAATTGCACATTTGGCATCTGGGGCAGAGACTGGAAACCTGGCAGGGACATTTTTCCAGACCAATTGGCATGCCTGTGTTTTCCTGATACTGCTTTGCAGGGAGGGAGATAACATGGTCATTCCAGCTGCGTGCACAATCACAGATGCAGCCATAGAGACCAGCTACTCAGCTGTCTGGAGTGCCAAGATAGCATGGGTGCCTGTTTACTTATGGAGCTGTTCAGAAGACAGCCTCCAGAGGCCGCCTGGTGGCTTGTGGGCAGGATGATCTCCAGGGGTTACTCCAACCCTGATCGTGTTCCCAGGGCAGAATCAAACCAGTTGCGATTTCTCCCAGCTGCCTGGAAGAGGAGCTAAAGAAGTGGATGCAGGTTAACTCTTGGCCATTTGCAGTGCAATCGTTAGCCTGCGGAGTGTATGAAAATGCAAAATATCATTTTCCCCAGCACAGCAGAATCCTTGGGCTCACCCTTTCGGCTGCTTAAACTGTGGTTTATTACAGACGGGTTGATCAATTCCATAGTAATGACACTAAGAAAAGACTTTGCCTTACCCTGTTTGTCACTCGTGTCTTATTCAAGGAAGGTCAGAAAGCGAATCTCCAGGCGTGTTGGATTTCAGCTTCCAATGTCCCTGAACATTGGGCATTCTGACAGAAATACCTGAGACCTTAAGCCAAAATGTCTGGAGAATTTACCTGTTGCCCACGCCTAGTCTAATCGATATACCCTTCATTCACACAGCACAGAAACCTAATCTACCACGTATATCACAGCCATTTAATAAATATCTCACTGGAATCTACCCTAAAGTTTGCAATATAAGAGTTGCCACCAATGTAGTACCAGCTGAGGGAGATGAACCAAGATAGTAATTGGTTATATTCATCACTGAAGATTTTGAACATGGCTGATGAATTAAACATTGGCTGTACTCGTCTTTTATGGAGGACACAGTCCATTGCAAATTCAAGCAGAAAAAAGGGGGAGGGGGGGTCGGCTTGAACATCCATAAGACAGCTCACTTATTAAATTAAAAAAGAGGTGTTTAAGCCAGAGTCCTTAAAAACACAGTTGAGCTGTTAAAATATTTCAAATACTTCATGAAGGATAAATAAATATCTACTAAAGAACTGAGCCAAGTAATTAGTAATATGCCGCTTTCATATTGCATTAGCATTAGCTTGGATGGTTGACCATCAGCTACAGAACGTACTTAATATGACTCAAAGCAAGTCATACTGAGTTCATTTTTGTGATATGCCAGGACTCAACGATCCCTTTCTCCTTCTTTGCCTTATTTGGCATGTCTTTTAATTTAAACAAATACTTAATTGCTGGATATTTTGAATAAGATCTGGCATTGCACTGGGATTCTGATAGATACGGTGCTGGCTCAAATTTCGTTTTAATAGTAGCTGAGTTGCAAAAGTGGTAACAGAATTATTTCTTTCTGCTCTTTCTTTCTGCCCCCAACTGTTTGCCAGAAAACACACCATGGAGGTCAACCAGGCATCATAGCCCGATAGCAGGGCACTTGGTTTGCTTGGAGACATCTCCATGTGCCATTGTCAGATACCTGAGCTAACCTGAGACGCTCCCAGGGAGCTGTGGCTGGCATAGACAAATTGGTTTAACTCAGCCAACGTGGACTTTTGCCAGACTCCCACGGATCCCTAATGGTAGGATGCCACATTTTATGTTTGCCAAACCGTGACCAAAAACACAACCGTCACTTGGATCATCAGAATGAAAGGAATGAGATACTTTAATAACTATTACATTCTTCAATCCTCCTTAATAATTTTAGAATGAATAATTAAAGTTGGGCTTTAAGCAACCACACACTTGTTCACTTAGATCATCAGAATCACCACTTGGCCATCAAGAGTTTTTGCAAGTTGGAACATGTCTGGTTATTTCTCTTTTTCGTTCAGACGTGTGCACCAAAGTAATGTAAGCTTGGTCTGTTGTTTCCAGTATTCTAGGCTTTCCAAGCAGTATGGAATGGACATCTATCTAAAGAAAGAGTTCCTTCAGTACACAGGATCTGTGAAGGAGCGGGGTGTGCTGTACCTTTTGATGTCTTTGAAACAGGTAGGAAAATCAGAGGAGCAAAACGTTAGTATCAGAGTGAAGTGACTTGTTTATTTAATTTGTAATGACCCTATGCAGCAAGTTTCCAGCCTGAGAAGTGATGCTTCCTGCTCAGATATTCCTCACCTTTCCACAAACTGAGACTGATTTATCCAAGGTTTCTAATAAACTATGTATCCAAAAGAGGATTTCCAAAAGGAGTCATATACCTTGTGACTGTGTCACGACAGCAGCCTAAGTCTTTCCCACAAAGGCCCTTTTAGTTGGATGAATTCTGACCTCCAGGTGTTGCAGTCTTCTGTTTTGACAGATGCTTTGTGCTTTGAACAACCGATTTGCAGAAGTTTAGGTTGGCAAAGTTTTCCTTGTTCTGGAGGGAAGTTCACCTCCCATGTTGATGTGTGTCAGCTGCTCTTAAAGGCATAGGGGTGGGGATGGGGAAAATAACATTGTCGTTTCCCCTTTCGTTGCCTCTGGTGAGCTTTTTGGCTTGCTGTCTCCCTTTTCTGGTGCTAAAGTGGATGGACCACAGCCTTAGTGAGGCTTAGCTTACCTGGATGTTTTTGGAGATATTGAGCCACTGGGGTAGACTTGAAGGACTTGAAGGACTCAAACTTGATTTGGAAGCTTGTATGCTGTGCAATTAATGGCAGAAAGTGAAGAGGAACTAAAGAGTCTCTTGATGAGGGTGAAAGAGGAGAGTGCAAATGTTGGCTTGAAACTCAACATCAAGAAAACTAAGATCATGGCATCCAGGTTCTATCACTTCCTGGAAAATACATGGAGAAAAAATGGAAGTAGAGACAGATTTTATTTTCTTGGGTTCCAAAGTCACTGCAGTTGGTGACTGCAGCCAAGAAAGTGAAAGACGCTTGCTCCTAGGGAGGAAAGCTATGGCAAATCTAGACTGCATACTAAAAAGCAGAGACATCACCCTGCCAACAAAAGTGCATTTAGTCAAGGCTATGGTTTTCCCAGTTGCAATGTATGGCTGTAAAAGCTGGACCATAAGGAAGGCTGAGCGCCAAAGGATTGAGGCCTTTGAATTGTGGTGCTGGAGGAGACTCCTGCAAGTCCCTTGGACCGCAAGACGATCAAACCGGTCAGTCCTAGAGGAGATCAACCCTGACTGCCCTTCAGAAGGCCAGATATTGAAGAGGAAACTCAAATACTTTGGCCACCTAA